GAGTCTCTGGTTAGGGCAAATGGTGAAGCACTCAACTACAAACCGTTATGCTGGAATGTCCTTTAGGGATAGTTTATTTTTATTTTGAAAATTAATTATATTGGTTTGCACAAAATTCATATACATTATGTTTCATGCATTCCTCTATTTTAATATCATTCATATACATTGTATTTTATAAAATTAATCACCATTGATCCATGCCCACCATTACCTCATCTTTTCAGGTCTCCACTGAATCTTTCTTAGTTCCTCCAGCCCCTCGCTCTGCTCATACAACTGTGACCTCAAGATGTTCCCCCCCCACTCTAACTCTTCCATCTCCTTCCCCCTTTGGACTTTTGTGTACATCTTACTAGTTATCTATCTTTACAATAATGCAGTTATTTGTAGGGACAGTTTCTTAGAGAGCTCTGGTGGCCTAGTGGTAAGGAGCTACACTGCCAATACGAAGGCCTGTGGTTCTAAAGCACTAGCTGCTCTGTGAGAGAAAGAGGAACAGTCATTTACGGCCTCTAAAAACTTGATCGAGTGTGGGCTGTGGGGTGGTTATGACTCGGTGGTACATAGCAATATAACACAGGCTTTTCTAAGACTGGAGCCATTGTGGAAGACTGTAATATCTTTCTCCTGCAAAGTGACTGATGAGTTCAGACTTTTCATTTGCAGCCAAGCATTTAACCGCTATTGTTCATCAGAGCTCCTTCCTTAGTTGTCCATACCTCTCTTAGTCCCTACTTCCAGGAAACTACAGTCTGTTGTTGTTGTTATGTGCCATCAGGTCACCTGCGATTCATAAGGACCCTATGTACAACAGCCCTAAACCCTGCTCTATCCTGTGCCAATCTCACTGTTTCCGACATACCTACCCTGATGATCCCAGTCACTGATTCAATGTATCTCATAGAGGGTCTTCCCTTCCTGTGCTGTCCCTCCACCCTCCCAAGCATGATGTCCTTCTCCAAGGACATGCCCAAAGTATGTCAGATGAAGCTTCAGAATCCTTGCCTCCAAGGAGCAGCCTGGTTTAACCCTCTCTAGGATGAACCTGTTTGTGTTTTCCTTGCAGTCCAATACTCTATTCCAGTACCATAGCTCAAAGGCATCAATTCTCCTTCTATCATCCCTAGTCAATGTCCAACTCTCTGATGCCTAGCAAGTGATTGCAAAGACCATGGCCTATATCGGGTGCGCCTTAGTCTCCAGAGTGACACCATTGCTCATCAGTACTTTGGAGAGGTCCCTAACAGCAGACTTTCCCATCGCAATACATCTTTTTTTTTCTTTCTGTAATTATATTTTATTAATTTTCATAAACATTTACAGAGATTTTGGGCTTCCACTCATTCATTGTTGCACTATTCTCTCTACCCTCCTCCCAGTTTGTTCTTGTCCAAATGCCACAGTGCTTGTCAAAGCCAGTTCTGATTAATCTTCTTTGTCAGTGTGCCCTTTGCCATTCCCTATCACTCCTCCCTGAGAGAGACTTCACCCTGAGTCATAAGGAAAAGGGGATGGCGTATTCTCTTAGCTACTTCCTGCTGAAAAGGGACGCTGTGGGTTTCAGGGTGAAGATCTTCTCTCACTACTCTAAAGGGCCCCTTTGGCAGTAGGAAACACATAGACTATTATGGAGATTGATTTTGGAATTTAGATGCACTCTTATTGATTGTGCTTGGCTGTACATGTACATATCCTTCAAGATGTATCATGGGGGTGTTGCAACCTAGAAGACACAAATTTGACTAACAAGTTATAAGTACATGAGTCCAAAAATTATGGATAAATAAAAGAAAAGATTCTTTCATTGTTTTACAAACCCTCCCCCAGGTCCCCTCCACCATGCAGCCCTCGCTCTAGTCTCCTGTGATGACAGAAATACCCAGTTACATCTCTCTTTTAAACGGTTCTTTCCCTCCTCTGTTTCAGTGCAGTATACATTATTGAACCCATCTTACTCAGTCTCTCCCCAACCCCAAGGACAGTCCCATTCTACAACGGTGGCATCATGTAATATCTGTCCTTTTGTGACTGGGATATTTCACTCAGCATAATGTTCTCCAGAGTCAACCATTTTGAATAATATTGCATGAGTTCCTTGTTTTTTAATGCAGCATAGTATTCCATTGTGCGAATATACCACAGCTTCTCTAGCCATTCGTTTGTTGATGGGCACTTAGGTTGTTTCCAACTCCTTGCTATTGTGAACAAAGCTGCAATAAACATGGGTGTGCATATATCTGCTTGGAGCAATACATCTTTTAATTTCCTGGCTACTGGTGCCAAGAGTGTTGGCTGTGGAGCTAAGCAAACTAAAGCTGTGAACAATCTCAATCTCTTCACCATCCATCCTGATGCTGCCAGTTGACCCAGTGGGAGAATCTTTGTCTTCCTGATATTGAGTCTCAATCCATATTGAAGGCTTAATTTTGTTATAGTTTTCATTTTTCTAGAATTTTATGTCAATGAAATAATAGAACTTCTATATACTGTCATTCCTTGTTATTGCTGAGTAGCATTCAGTTGTGTGCATACATTACATATAGTTCATCTGGTCACCTGTTGATGAACATTTGAGTTGTTTCAAGTTTTTTGGCTAATAGAAGTTAAAATTTAAGACCGTGTTGGGTTTGAGGGAAAAAATGGCTCTGTCGTTCCTCCTGTCTTTCCTCTTGTTCTCCTCTGGCTTGTTCAGTGATTTTTCTTTTAAATTCTCACCTCATTGCAATCTAGTCAGAACTAAGTCCTCGCTGACCCCAGTGGCGTTCCCACAGGCTGTAACTGGGGTGAGATGAGCTTGCCAGTCTTTCTCTTGAGGGGCTGCTGGTTCATTTGAGGGACATACTATCTTTCGGTTAGCATTGCGGCTCCTATGAACTGTGCTGTCGGGGCTTCCATTCTTATATTAGTGATACCAACTTACTGATTTGTTAGGCTTTTAAAAGTAATATGCCTAAATCTTGAGATTATTTTTAATAAAATTTTATTTTATTGTGATTTTAATGAACATTTATGGAGAAGTTAGATTTTCATTCATTCATTATTGTATATTTTACCCTCTCCCCATTTTTGCCCCTCCCCCAGTTCACTGTTTTAAAAAAATATTAATTCTTTTTAGCACAATTACCTTCCTCTCCCTCTCCCCTCAGTCCTCTTTACA